GAGGTAACAATTCTGATTCACACTGGTAGTTCTCACATGTTTCTGAACTCACTTAGGGCAGAGCAATGCAGTCAAAAGCGCGATTCTACTTAAAAGCGGAAAAGGGGTAAAATCGAAAAGCGGTGAATCAAAGCGTAAAAGCGTAAGTTTTTATGCATCCTGTATAAAAGTTCAAAATTTGTTAAGTACGACATAAACTATGTGAAATATGAGTGCACAGAGTTTATATAAAAGAATAAATATTTGCAATTCATATCTAAATTAAAACAAGCTCATAACATTTTGAAAATTACTTCATAAACATAAATCGTAACTCACAAACGAGTTAAGAATCCAAATTCTCAAAAACTGGTTTAAGCTTGCATAATGACATAGGACTTTAATAATCCAAGTTCTCGAAATCAAAGCACACAAATGTTATATAGGATAGAAGGAAGCTTTAACCTTAATGTTAATGAAACTCATGGGATCACATCCCCTCCAAACACCCATGAACTCAAACCTATGTGGTATACTTTCCGAAAACATAATCAAAACTCATGTGAGGATACCATGAGCTAACGGCTGGTTGATTTAATGGGGAGGAATGGAACATAAATGAATTTAGTCAGCTGAGAACATATATCAGCCCGCCATCGGAGAGCGGGTGAGCTAAGAAGAAAAGGCAGCAGCCAAGGGAATGTGACGGGTGACGAAAACTAACATGCTATGTTGTGGCCCGAGGAGTGCGACAGGTGACAGGCAATGGGAACTATTGACTGCGACGAGCTTGAGCTTCGCTGGAAGGTGGCGACGATGGTTGCGGACTTGTAGCGGCTGCGGAGAAGGACTGCCTCGCGGCGGCGGCAAGGGTGCTCTGTCGAGAAGGACGTTCGTCGAGGAGGTGGGCGCTGCCGTGCTGGAGTGTTGGAGAGTGGAGACGGCGGATCAGGGATTGGAGTGTTTGTCGAGGAGGAGAAGGCGGATAAGGGATTGCAGCCTCGGCCCGAGTCCGATATCCACGCCTTTCCACTTCTTCTTTTTTTTTTTTTTTGCCCGAAGTGCTCAAAATGACGCCGTTTTGGTTTGGTGGAGACAGGTTTCTCCTTGGCTTGGAATCGGATAAAAACAGTCTAAAAACGCGATTTTATCCGATTTTAATGATTTTACAACGCTTTTGACCGATTTTGAGTGAAAAACGATTTTATTAGTGATTTGAAACGTTTTCGTTCCCTAGAAACTTAAAATCGTACGATTTTACGCTTTAAAGCGCGATTTTGACTGCACTAGGGCACAAGAATTGAATTGTGTGACTGAGAGCATTGCTCCTATGAGAGTCAAGGTAGCTAGTGGCCATACACTCCTTAGCACTGCAGTTTGTAGAGGTTTCAGTTGGCAAATGCAGGGGCAGGATTTCGGATTTGATGTGAGAATGTTGGACTTGCCTTCTCATGATTTGGTTTTGGGTTGGGATTGGTTGGAAACGATAAGTCCATTTCAGATGGATCTCAAGAAAAGGCAACTGTCTTTTGAATGGAAATGGGGTACTATGTGTCTACAGGGTCTTTCTAAGGAGGGGCAGTGTAGAATGCTTAGTGGTAGACAATTCCAACAGCTCCTAAAATACCCTTTGTCCCACTTGTGTGGAGCAATTTTTGCCATCGAAGCCGACCCAGATATCAGCCCCACTCCTCCATTTTTGCAGCCACTTTTGGACTCCTACTCGGACGTGTTTGCTGCTCCATCTTCTCTACCTCCTCCACGGTCATTTGATCATATTATTCCACTGTTGCCCTCTTCTAAACCTGTAAACATCCATCCTTACCGCTTCCCACACCATCAGAAAGCTGTAGCAGAGAAATTAGTTTCAGAAATGTTGCAGTCCGAGTTCATACAACCCAGCCACAGCCCCTATGCCTCCCCTGTTCTGTTGATAGGCAAGAAAGAAGGCACTTGGCGTTTCTGTGTTGATTATAGAGAATTAAACGCCACCACCATTAAAGATAAGTTTCCCATTCCCCATCAGATCAGGATGCACCCGGATGATCAGTTTAAAACAGCCTTTCGCACTCATCAGGGCCATTACGAGTTCCGTGTGATGTCGTTTGGACTTACAAACGCACCGGCTACTTTTTTCAAGCTTTGATGAATCATGTATTTGGTAAATATCTGCCGCAGTTTATTCTCGTCTTCTTTGACGACATCTTGGTATACAGCAGGTCGGAGCAAGAGCATGTGAGTCATCTGGAAGTTGCTTTGCAGCTGCTGCGTGAAAATCAGCTGTTTGCTAAAGCATCCAAATGTGCTTTCGGGCAGTCCAAGGTCGAGTATCTTGGCCATTTAATCAGTAAAGAAGGGGTGGCAACAGATCCGAAGAAAGTTTCAGCAATGAAGACTTGGCCTCGTCTTTTGACTGTTAAGCAACTAAGGGGATTTTTGGGCCTCACAAGCTACTACAAGAAGTTCATTCGCAACTATAGTACAATTAGTCGTCCATTGACGGAGCTACTGGAAAAAAATGGGTTCCACTGGACTCCAGCAGCTGAGTTTGCTTTTGAAAAACTCAAGCAGGTTATGTGTTAAGCGCCCGTGCTGGCTTTGCCCAACTTCACTCTTCCTTTCACACTTGAAACTGATGCGTGTGAAACAGGAGTGGGGGCTGTATTGACACAAGAGGGTCGTCCTTTGGCATTTTTTAGCAAGGCTTTGGGAATTGGAAATCAGGGGTTGAGCACTTACGAGAAAGAGTACCTGGCTGTACTATTGGCGGTCGATCATTGGCGGCATTACCTCGAGGGGCGTCCTTTTACTATCATCACTGATCATGAGAGTCTCAAATTCTTGTTGGGATAAAAAGTGCATACTGCCATTCAAAAAAAGGGTCTCTCATGGGTCTGGATTTTCAGATCAAGTATCGGAAGGGGAAGTTTAATGGGGCTGCTGATGCCTTGTCGAGGGTCTTTGAAGATGTTGGACCAGAGCTAGGGGAGAGCTGCATTGCCATCACTATGGTTTTACCAGATTGGCTAGTTGAGGTTGAAGAAACTTATGTTGGGGACTCGGAAGTGGCTGCCTGGATTGCTGTTGCTGCTGTTAATTCTTATGGTCTATCCCTCTGGTCTTACTCTGCTGGGGTGTTGCGGTACAAAGGTGTTATTGTGGTTGGGAAGACAGGGGGAATGCGATCCAAGTTGCTGCATTTGTTTCACTCTTCTCCAGTTGGTGGTCATTCGGGGGCACAAGTTACTTACCAGCGCCTTCGAGCTCACTTCTATCGGAGAGGAATAAAGTCAGAAGTGGTCACTTGGGTTTCTCGCTGTGATGTTTGTCAATGATGTAAGACCAAAACTTTTGCCTCTCCTGGATTGCTTCAGCCACTCCCGGTTCCTACCCGAGCTTGGCGGGATGTAAGTATGGATTTTATAGAGGGATCGCCTACTTCGAACGGCAAACAGGTTCTCTTAGTCGTGGTGGATCGATTTACAAAGGTGGCTCACTTTTTCAGCCTCAAGCATCCTTACTCTGCTGCTGTCGTGTCTCAGATCTTCTTTGATGGGGTTTTTAAGTACCATGGGATGCCGTCAACCATTGTGTGTGATAGGGATGCGATTTTCACCAGTCAGTTTTGGACAGAGTTCTTCCGATTGCAGAACACGGACATCCATTATTCGACGGCACCCGCAAACTGATGGTCAGACCGAGCGAGTGAACAGATGTCTTGAGGATTACCTTCGTTGCATGACCTTTCATAGACCGCAAGATTGGGACGAATGGTTAACTTTGGCGGAGTGGTGCTATAACACTCATCACCATCTCAGTCTGCAGATGACTCCTTTCGAGGCCCTTTATGGGTTTCCCCCGTCTCATTTTGGTCTGACTCCTTCTTCGAGTACTCCAGTGGGAGCTGTGGAGGACAAGATTAGGAAGCAACAGTAGCTCGCGAAATTTCTGACTGACAGCATCACGCGCGCCCAGAATCGTCTGAAATAGTACGCTGATCGACGCAGGTCTGAAAGGGTGTTGCAGGTTAAGGATTGGGTGTATTTGAGATTGCAACCTTATCGCCAGGGATCTGTTATGAGGCTACACGACAACAAGTTGGGAGCAAAGTACTTTGGTCCCTATCAGATCGTGGCAAGAGTTGGCGCAGTTGCTTATAAGCTGGCTTTACCATCCCACTCTAAAGTCCACCCTGTCTTTCATGTATCACAGTTGAAGAGGTGCCGATCTACTGTGCCACCAGCTGCAGAGCATCTACCCGACCCAGATGATATGGGGAGCTTGAAGTTGGAACCTGCTCAGATTTTGGCGAGGCGGTTCGTGAATCAGCATAACAGAGTTGTAACCCAGGTGCTGGTTCAGTGGGTACATCAGGCACCTGAAGACGCTACTTGGGAGGAGTTGTCTTCCTTCAAGCGTCAGTTTCCCGCTTTTCCAGCTTGAGGACAAGCTGTGTTTGAAGGGAGAGGGATTGTAACAACCCAGGCAGTCAGCTGGCAAGATGACGTGGCCGCAGGAGACGTGTATAAATTGAGAGAGAGACTGTAGAATTGAATATGCTTTTGACCAATTATCTTGTTATAACTACTTTACCAATTCTAAATTACAGTAATGAAACAACTCTCTCTTCGTCTCCCTTCTTTCCCTTCTTCCACCAGAATCTCCCAAATTCGACAGAGAAATCCCACACGATCCTTACAGGTTCCGACGCCGTACTTGGTTGGGAGGGAAGAGAGAATGTGGGTGAGGACATCGTCCGGTAGGGAGCTAACCTTGTCGACTTCGATTCCCGGCTTTTGGAACTTCCGTTGATCTTTCGTCGCCATGGGCGCTTCCTTCCACGGGGTTGGGTGAGCAACTGAGGCGGAAGGAGAAATATTTATAGGGGCTCTGCAATTCAGGAATTTGCAGATCAGGAAACAAAATATTCGAGAGGATCAGAATGATTAAGAGGGCAGCTGGCGAGTGTAATTATTGGCTCTTTCCAGGATTTTGTGAGGCTTTCCTTTTCGGGTATCAGAAAGGAGAGAATCTGGCTGGATTGTAAAGAGACGAAATGTGAGTGTCTGAAATCCTGGGTTCTCCTAATACTCGCATCCGGCTATACAATTCCATCAACAGTACACAAGATGAGACGATCCACAACTCGGAGAAGCTACCAATAGCAGCAGGTCAATACGGAGAGACTGTTCCAACATTGTTACAAAAAAGATCAGAGATCGTCACAGTAGTTAACTAGATGACCCCAAACTGATGAACAATTTATGTTAACTTCGCTCAAGACACAAGATGCTTCCCGCAGTGTGCCATGATTACATACAAGTTGGATCACCATTGATGGTTTTCTGCGGCAGATAAGCAGAGACAGACCTCTGTGGTTTATCAACAAGATAACCAACTATAATATCAGCAGTTCAAAATCCGTCAATCGAAGAAACTGATGAACCACCTTGACCGATGCACCAACCACCAACATAGACTGAGATACACAGGTGACTAGGTAATTACCGAGCCACCTTTCCAGGCTCTTCGCTGTTGTTTTCTTCATCTTCGTCGAAGTTTATCTCATCATCTTTCATGTATTTCTCTTGCACTTCTGCAACTGTGCAAATGCTTAGTCAAGGAGAAAACTTACAATACAGCTCTCCTGAAGGCCATTAACATAACTGTTATGTCATGGACGATATAGACTAACTAGCAAGAGAAAACAGAGCTTGCATCCAGCCTTCTATGCTGGATATGCAGCAATGCAGATTCAATGTGTTTGATTCAGAATATTTGTAAACTAATGTCATTTATCTCAATTGCATGCTATTGTATGAGGTATATTTGCAAAAAAACATTGTTTCGTTCAATGCATTTGTGCAAGAAGTAAGACACTTGAGACTTACTTGTTTAGATTGCATTTTCAAATACTTCCTAGTTCCTACTCCCAAAGTACTTGAGATTACATCACTTTGATGCATTAGCAATTGTATGCACAACAACTTCAAATGCACACATATGCATTGGAAGTGTCGACAAAAAACAGACTAGTATATTTGTTCAAGTTATTGCAAATGTCACTCTCCCAAATACACCCAATGAAATGAACGGTAAACGTAGCAGCTTTACTTTTAGGGATTTTACCACTTATATAGTTATATTGGTCTCCAACTCAAGATAAATAAATAAATAAAAACACCAAGAAAGATAAGGATATCTGTAATAATCCCAATCAGTCTGCCGCACTGCAATCTTGCTGAACTCAACCGCACTGGCATCAATACCAGCAAAGATGTATCCGTTGCTCTTGTCTATCAATTTCACAAGATTGCCTACACTTTCTTTGTCCTGAAAACGGATTAACATTTTACCAGGGACTTGGAACAACTACTTCATAAGAAACTTCAGAGAAGACACAGAAAGAAAGAATATAGCATGCCTGAATGTCTAGAGTGGAAAAATTGACAAGGCTGTAATCCTCGACCACCTCACACAGCTCCTTAGTTAGCTTTCTGCAGCACCAAAAAGGCAATTACACTCACTCCACATGAGAGATTCAGAAAATTGTCCAGGCATTCATAGCTCCTATTAAAAGGCAAATATGTAGGTGAAGCTATTAACTTTGCAGACCTATACTTAGCTGAACGAGGATCTTGATCCAGATGGTGCTGCAAATATGACAAGTCCTGAACATCCATATAGTACTCAAGGTTGAAACCTGCAAAGCAAAAAGCAAATATGGGCTACCATGTAATTTTCCAATATGCTTCATAGGTAAAGGATAATAGATAACTAGAGAATGGGACTACCTAGCTTTCCATAGTTCTCAATTAGATCGATCTTGGACAGGACATTAATGTGTGGAAGTTCCAGATGAAGCATGGTTGACAATGATAGAAGCAATCCACTAACATACTTGGCAGCATCACTACAAAGATGGGCATCAACTAGGTGTACAGCAGTCAACTACAGGATAGCAGAAGCCAGAAATCCATTTCCAACCAGTTAGGATCCCAACTCATCTAAAAGCCATGAACAATTGAACTTCTGAGAACCATGACTATATTACCCTCAGGTTCAACTTCTTTATAAGCTTCATGATAACATTCTTGGCGTTTGCGTGAAGGAAGAACAACTCTACCTGCCCAGGGAAATCAAAAAGCAGGTAGTGGTCTGCAAAGAAGTTATAGTTCATCAGAATATCTCTGAATCAGTACCACCAGCATGATATTGTAAAGAACCAGAAACACTACTGCACCTTTTAGCAAAGGTTGCAACTTGGATTGGAGCCAGTCAATGTTCTTCTCCAGAAAGTCCATGCAGTACACAAGGCCTGCCCAAGCACAAGCAACCATTACTACTTATTTACCACAGAAAGAAAACAAAGCACTAGTAAGACGTAAAGGAAATACCTCCATTGGGGCCGAGAGAATGTTCTGCCATTACATCGCTTAGCTTAATGAGATCCTCGATATTGACCGCACAGTCGTAGCTGAATTCAACCGTCAAGGACAAAGAAGAAGGCAAAATCCCAATTCCTACCCAGAAAAGCAAACAAGAAAGAGAATCGAAAGTGAAGGATACGGCAAGGAATCATTGGCGGGATCCAAATTGATTACTGCGACCTTCCTGCACAACGGTGGTGGACTCAGAGAGTGAAAACAAAATTGAAAGGAGAAAAGGGAAAGGGAGCCCGCCCGTGAGTTACCTGCCAATGAGGCGAAGGAACTGAGACATGCCATTGCAGTAAGTGGTCTTGCCGGAACCAGGAGGACCGATGACCACTTGACCAAACACCATTCTTCACCCCTTTTCAGCTCCAAAATTTCTCAGAGAAATGTGTTCCTGAGGGACTCGACGGGTCTATTGCCGTTAATTTACACGATTAGGGTTTTCGAGTTGGGAGGGGTTTAGGGAAGAAAGTCCGACCAGTCGGCTACGTAGACTGGGGAACTGGGGAAGGAAAGGAAGTCGTTCTCCAGAGTTTCGGCGGTGGGAAAGTAGAAGAAAAATGGAATACCGGATGAAACAAAAAAGGGTGGGGATTAGAAGCTAATGGTTTGATTAGAAGCTTGTTGTTGCTCAATTGATTGACTTCCTTCTCCACTGGCCATGGCTGCCAAACAAATAAATGAGCAATCAAAACAAAGAAACAATTAGTCAATTACTAATGGTTTGTAGCAAGTAACACAAATGAGGCAGGGGAGGCAGTAATTACCTCAGTTGATTATTGAGGTAAGGAGGCAGGCCGGCGGTGAGAGGAGGCAAGCAAGGGAGAATAGAGACAGCGGAGGGAGGTCTTCGTCAGTTCGTCGGCGCTCGGCGGGAGGAACAAGGACTCCAGAGCGGCGGCTGTTGTTCTTCTTTCTTGTCTCTGGTCGGCGCAAAGCAACGGGGAGGGAAGGTTTCCCAGGAACGGCGTTCAAGTAGAAGGAGCTGAGGGGAGGCTGCACAAGCGAGCGGCCGCTGGAGTGGAGACGATGGTTTGGAGTCAGACGAATTAGGGTTTGATTTTGTTTTTTTTTTTTAAATTTTCCGACATAAAAACGATACCGTCTTGGTGTTGGACGGGATTTTTTTTTTTAATTTTACTATTTTAGCAAGCTGTGCCGGTTGGACCAATACCGGCCGGTATTTGAAGACTGATGGGCAGACTGTGCCGGTTTTGGTCCGGTTTAGTAAACCATGAAAAAAGAGGGGGCGTTCCGAGAATCGAACTCGGGACCTCTCGCACCCAAAGCGAGAATCATACCAATAGACCAAACGCCCATTTGATGAAAGCAATTCATGCAAAGTTTTACTTAATAAATAATTTAAAAGCAACCCATTGTTTCTCCCCCCTTCCTTTTAGGCCCATGGACGTAATCATGTTCATCCCCATGTGACCTGCAATCAGAACCCTTTTCTCACCACACCAGTCACCACCATCATCGCTGTAAAAACCACCCCCACTCCCTCTCTCTCCTCTATATATTGTCATCCTTCATTATTTGCAACTGTGTAGTTGATGCTAAGAATTGCTAGCTTATCGTAAATATTTGGATTTCCTACTCCATTGCCCCCAACCTCTTTTCTCAGTTTCATTATCCCACTGGAACATTACATTACAGGTAGCATTAGCAAATTGCTCAATTAGGGATAACTGTCCCAAAAGACAAGGTCCCATGGTCCCCCTGCCTGCTCTCACCTTCAACAAAATGTTAAAACAGACCTTATCACGATATAGGGGGTCCATGTACATCAACATTTTCCATTCACACCAAACCAATCAGACCTCGTATAGGTTCGTTAATACAGAGAATATGAATTCAAATTTCAAACTCATCTGCAACAACAACAAAAATTTGTTTGAAGGAAATAACTTCAATCTGAATGTCTTGATGATACCTAATGATGTCCATGAAAGCTTTCAACTTACTCATATATATGGTTGGTTCCCAGTTCACCGTCAAGTTCACAGCAAACCTGCGATAAGATGTGAAGTTTCATCTGCAATGCTTAAAAGGGAAGGTGAAAACATTCAATCCTAATCAGGACACTCACATAAAGTTTACTGCTTTACCATGTACCAGAACCAGAATGGCAATGTGACCAGCAAAAAAACAGACAGTTGAATGGGGGGAAAGAAAAGGAGAAATGGAAAATATCTCAAGACAGCGGTTGTTGGGTGCTTGAAAGTTGGACGAAATGATAGCCCAATTGCCACTAACTTCAATTATACATCTTCCCCCCTTCTGCTTTTCCTGGTCTCTCACTCTCTCACGCTTCACAAGACCCACATTTCTCTTTCATATCTTACCTTATTCTTCTTTCCTTATCTCTTCTTTCTCCCTTCTTCACACAGCATAAAGGACGAGAGCAGAAGTTTCAACCAGAAACTAACTAACTGCCTTTTAGTTCCATTTGGCAGTGAGGTAGAGAGAACTTGAGAAGCTATGGCGTTTGCAGGAACAACTCAGAAGTGTATGGCTTGTGACAAGACTGTTTATCTCGTCGACAAGTTGACCGCCGATAACCGGATTTATCACAAGGCCTGCTTCAGGTGCCATCACTGCAAAGGAACACTCAAGGTAAGTGATAGTGAAAGCTTGCCCATAATAGCATACTAGGCATTCAATTTTTGCTGTTTCAGTGAAATATCATGCACTGCAGATTATGCCCTCTCAGCAATGTGCTATAGGCATTGTCTCTGTTATTGCATTGAAGTATAATAGATAGTTGATACATAAGTATCAGATCCATACCCTGTTTTCTGCACAAAGATTAGATCTTTCCTTGTTCGGCTAAAGGGCTATCTGCCCAGTTTGGAGGTTATTAATGACTAGGAGATCTGTTTGCAGCTTGGTAACTACAATTCCTTTGAAGGGGTGCTTTACTGCAGGCCACACTTTGATCAGCTGTTCAAAAGAACTGGAAGTCTTGAGAAAAGCTTTGATGGTGAGTAACACAAAAAGTTACTCCAGGGTTTTTCCATTTCCTCTTCCTCACTTTCAGTGACAGTTTTCATTGCAAATTGTCATTTCAGGAACTCCCAAGATTGCAAAACCAGAAAAAACTATTGACACTGAGGTAATGACTAATGACCCCCCCAGGACTTTGCACTTACCTCCAACAACACCACATATTACTGTTTACCAAATAAAACCTGCCACCACATACTACTGTTCTTCATAATTCATTTAGCTGTTCTACAACAGAAACCTATAGTATCCAAAGTCTCAAGCATGTTTGGTGGAACTAGAGAGAAATGTTTTGGCTGCACGAAGACTGTCTATCCCACTGAAAAGGTGATAATCGATAAGCACCTATTATGATCCAGTTAGACTAACAATATGACAATAGGACGCATGATTCTTAACACAGATTGATTATTGCATTTAATTTTGTCAAAATAGGTATCGGTCAATGGAACTCCTTACCACAAAAGCTGCTTCAAATGCATCCATGGAGGCTGTGTGATTAGCCTGTCCAACTACATCGCACATGACGGCCGCCTCTACTGCAAACACCACCACAATCAGCTCATCAAGGAAAAGGGCAATTTGAGCCAGCTTGAGGGAGATGCTCCTGACCATGTTGCTGCTACTGAGAAGGCGATTGCAACAGAAGTCGCTGCTGAATCATAAATATGCTCAACAGAACTTCCGGCTTTTACTGTTGAACTTTTCCAATTTGATTTTCTTCCTCTTATGAGTTACTACAAATTCCCTGCAGTGCGAAAGATTTTCTGCTTCCAAATTACATAAAACTCTTTTGAGTGTTTCTCATGAGCTTGAGTGGCCTTTCATTTGTGATTTTCACTATGGTATGGTGGTGTATCTGGTGAGAAGTTTGCAATTTGGCAATGTTCATAATGTGACTATCTACTGTGCATTGGGCATGATCAGTTGTACTGTCTAAACAACAAATATATCACAAATGGAGGTAGATTGGCAGAACAAACTATACTGCAATTTCACTGGTTTGAAGTTCTCAGAGATTCACGAGCTCGCCTGTAAGTAAACAAAGATGAAACTAAGAACACAATCTAAATGCTCCTACGATGAGCATTTTTCCTTGGAAGTAAAAAAAATCAGCTTTCCTCTCATACATTCCTCTGTTCCTATCATTCAAAACTAACAGCAATAAGAAATGGTAAAAAACGTTCTGATCTTTGAACAAGTTAAAAGAGTTAACAGCCAGTTGCCTTGCCTGTTTTGGAGACTCCGAAGCAACTAACAGTGATTGAGCAATGAAGCTCAAAAACCTGCAGGGTCAGATGACGAATGACAATCAAAGTTATACTTCCTTAAAAAAATCTTGGTTAAAGAATAAAAATGAGAACAACCCCATGGAATATGCACACAAACCTCCAACTTATTGGTTGTACACTGACAAACAACACTTGGACATAACTTTGATCCTGGAACCTTAATGGACAATCAAGATCATAGAGAATAATGGTTGAAATTTAGACAACCATTTCACAGGAGCACAGTATACACATTTGGATGCTTGAGGTAAAAAAAAGTTGTCAATTGATAATAGCATTATGATACCAATTCTGATTATTAGTTCTAGAAATGACATAATACAAATACATAATGCCATGAAGCTTATGGCATAAAGCTACAATTCTACTTTTACAACAAAGCCACAAGTAGTTACATCAATCACTGCAAGGCGGCCCCCATGGTATCAAGAAGACAACCATTTTGGGCAATATGTTTCAGATCCACGACGAAGTTATCACGAAGAAATCCAAACCCAAATGCTCCACTCTTGTACTGCCAAATCCTTCCCTCAACCCGCCATGGATTTGCTGCACTTCCTTCCAGTCCTGGAATCACCAGGTCAAAACTTGAGTTGATGTACATGACTCGCATGACCACCTCATCATCCACGTAAGTTTCATCAGGAGGTGGTCGGATATGTATCCGACTGTCGTACACATGCAGCTCCTCGGGTGACAGTGGAGAATCGATGAATGTTGGATTGGATGTCCAAAAAACCGGCATACAACTAGAGAGACGTTCAGATAAGTCCCCTAGTCTTCTGCAGGAGATGCCAACACCATCATATTCCACGAGATAGAATTCCAACTTCATTTCCTCACAAATTCCCTGCGATAAGGAGAAGGAATGATGACAGACTTGCATCAAAGCTCACAAAAAGCTCAGCATCTCCAACTTCCAGTTGAATATACCACCAATAAGTAACTGACATCGCCGAATTTAGTGATACAAACAGAGTGGTTAAGTCGACCAAGAGAAAATTTATTTCAAAACACCCATACCAGCAGAATACTGTAACCATCATTCATGTGCACAGGACTTCGAGGAGAGAAAGTAAGAAACAGGAACCAACTAGATAGGGCATAGGCCATCAAGCTGACACGATTGCAGTTCTTACGAAAACTGTTAAAGACTATACATTTGTTTGTAATACGGGAGCGGACTCCATTTAGCTCGTCTGTAATCATTCATCAAAGTAAATAGTGCCAAAGCATTCCTCGTATATTCAAGTGACTAAGAAGTCTGCCCAAAAACTAGTTAACTACAACAAAACTATCTATGCCTTCGGAGATCTTAAGCTACTGTCTTCAAAACTCAACAACTTACAAGCTTCATATATCTCGCCAAAGACCAAGAACAACTAAAGGATGAAGCAAAACAAACCTTCCATATCCCTTGCAAAGGGCGAGACTGCGTGGGGAAGCAATCAACGATCTTCAAATAATGCTCGGTCTCCCACCGCTTCCTAAACTGCCTCTCCTTCCCTCTCCTCCTTTGCCTCCTCAATGACCGGTCAGCACCGGGACTCGACCTATTCGCATAGTACTGATACATTTCCACCATTTCGGGCAAGCTCGCCGGAGGAGACCCACTTTCGAACCCATTACTACTTCCCACATCGTCGCCGCTATCATCTCCTCCACTTCTTGCATTCTCCCCATTTGAACTCCTTCTGTTTGCAAAGCTCTCATCTTCCTCCACGCTAAAATGGAAATCCCCAATAAAATTCACATTCACATGGATCGAATCCGTTTCGGGTGACCCCAATTCACAATCAGCTCCATTTTGCCCTTCAGGGTCGAGGTAATTGGCAATCTGACCCTCCGCCGATATCCCCATGATGAGAAACGGCGACTTGAGCACGCCATACGTACCATTTTGAGAAGGAGAGACTCTGGACCCGCGGAGGAACGAAGGGCCCCACTCGAAGAAGACGAGGCCCGGCGGCTTGGCCACGCCGGCGGCTGCGGCGGCCGGGTTAACTTTCTGCTGACTCTGACCACAGCGGCGCCAGAAGCCGATCAAATTCTCCCATTTGTTCAGCGTCTTGTACAGCAGCTTGTACGAGATCTTGCCTTCCCCCCACTTCCCGATCTGGGTCTTGGAACCCCACCGCCTGTCGCAGAGAGCGTACCAGAGCTTGCTGTCGTTCTGGCAAAGGGGGCCGAACCGCTTCGATGTGCAAGCGAAATTGGCGATCTCGATTGGGTTGAGAAACGACAGGATGCAGAGCTGGACGTCCTCTGGGAAATCGGCGAACGAGTAGGGTGATGATGAATCCATTTCCGCCATGATTGTGAGAGGAAATTGATTTCTGCCGGTAGGAGAGCTGTTGGATAGAGAGAGAGAGAGAACAGGAGGTTGCACGAGTTTTCTGAGGATTGAGGATCTGAGAGAGACAAAGACGACAAAATATAAGGGTGTGGGAGGAAGGATGTGGAAAAGGGGTAGATTCCTGAAGATGGAAGGAATGATTCTCAGTTGCTGGCAAAATGTGTGTGGAATTGTATTGGTACGCTTGCTCAATTGTTCTGTCGTTGAATCGAAGACGAGAACCTCGGAGCAAAGTTTTGCGTTCTACAGTTTGGGTTTCCGCTGGTGTAACTTGGATAACAACGGGTCCAAAGGATTGGCGGGCCAAGACTTGTCTCCTTTTCATTTTTCGTTTAGAAATATTTGGGCCTCAGTGGGCGGGCCATCATCTCTCCGTTTCTCCCGCCAGTTTGCCCTATATTGCATGGTTACCGAAAAAATCAGCGTAAAGGTTATTTTATCGTGGTTTGGAAATATAGATTATATTTTGGCTGATTTGTTGTATGTTGGATTATGCTGATTTGGTACAATTATCTCGAGAAGTTATCATTTTAAATATAATAAATTATAAGATTTTGTGATTTCTGATTTTATTCCAGTGTTTGATTTTATATAAAATCTCGAGTTTGACACCATTGATCCGGACACAAGTTGTTTCAATTGTTATTAGCACAGGGCCCGTCCGTTAGCCGGGAGAGTTTGATACTTTTGTATTGATATAGTATACTCAACTTTAAAGTATATATATGTGATCTATGAGTAATTTATTTTCATTCGTAATTTTGACCCTAGTTTATTGTTTCTTCTAGATGTTGCCTTTGAATAAATGAATCGCTATTTGCCGCCCGTCGTTTTACTATTTGCCGCCCATAGTTAGGACAGAAAAGACGAATTTGCCCCTGCCCCCTAACCCTATCTATCCACCTCCTCCCCCTCCCACCCACCCCCACCCCCACCCCACCCCTCCTGCCGCTGCAGTCGACTTCCCCCTCCTCCGCTCGCCGGCGCCACCTTCCCCCTCCTCTGCAAGCCGCCGCCGCCTTCCCCCTCCTCTGCTCTACGCCGCCGCCAGGAGAGAAGCCAGTCGACGCCTCCTCCTCCTCTCCACCGACGATCTCGGCCGCCACCGCCCAGGAGAAGCAGTCGCCGCCCAGGAGAAGTCGAAGCCGCCGCTGTTCCAGTCGTCGGCGTCGAGGTAAATTTTTTTTTTTTAATACCGTCTCGCCGCCGTCCGGCTGGTCGGAGCGGACCCCGTCCGCCAGGTCGGACGGGTCTGGTCGAACCGGTCTGCTTGAGTTTCTGATTCGGTTTGAATGGTTCGGTTTAAAGAAATATTTATTAGATTTATTTTAAATACAATTGTTAGTATATTAATTAGTTTAATATTGATAGTTGATTAATTTGTATATAATTGTTAATTAATTATATAATGTGTTAGTTTATATATTGGGTAAGTTGAAATAATTATAATTGTTAATTAATTATATAATGTGTTAGTTTATTAATTGGGTAAGTTGAAATAATTATTTGAATAACTATCTAGTTAAATTAATTAGTAATTGATAAATTAATTAGATAACCAAGTTGTATGTATCATAATTAGTAATTGATAAATTATGACTATGAAGAAATTGCTAATCTAATAATCTATTATAACATATTAATTAAATTAAGTAGATAACATCAAACGAAATATTAAGTAGATAACAAATTGTATGTATCATAATTACTCTATGAAACAACAAGTAATTGCTCAACAAATAATTTCCAATAAGGTATTAATAGAAAATTATTGTCTATGTTTAGAGATGGCGTCATCTAGTAATTCTGGAGGATCACGTAGTTCTGGAGGACCAGGAAAGAGATTGAAAAGATTCCTTGGGCGTACATTAGCGCTAGTGCGAGAAATAAGGACCCAAATGATAGAGATGAGCCACAGCCACAGGTGACACCGATGAGATATAGGGCAGAGGGTTTCCCTCAGTTTGATTTTCAGTTGCCTAGTATGGGTGGTAGTGGAGCTGGTCCCAGTATTGATCATCATACTTCACCGTTTGAGCCTTCAGACGAGATTGACGACGAGTTGGAGGAGTATGAGTCGGATGCTGTTGAGTATCGTATTCCACGAGTCAGTCCGATCAGAGACAGAGGTGCCCCCAGCGTTGCGTCACCTATCGTTACTAGGGTTCATGCTGTTACTGGGATCTATAGAGACCATGCGGGGCGTTTCTATAGTGCTCCACAGCCTGGTGAGGGCCAGAGTTGTACTGCTGATGTAGGAGAGGCCTGGGAGCCTAGAGGACCGTGTCCTGGAGGGCCGAGCGACCCGAGTTTGCTCCGTAGCTTTCTTGGGCATGTTGCCCACCGTCTGTACACGGGAGAGGCTGATAGAGGGGTGATCACTTGCTACGACAGGAGTGCGACCCTTTGTCACGTTCTCGGCGGTTATCAGATAGCAGATGATAACGCTAGGACTACTGTAGAGACATCGGGCCTTGCTCACCTCTTTGATATCACCTTCCAGAGCGAGTTGGACCCTGCTCTCATCTTGGCATTTGTGGAGAGGTGGCAGCCGGATACTAACACCTTCCACATGGCGTTTGGAGAGATGACGATCCTCCTTCACGACGTGGCACACATTCTTGGGCTTGCGGTTGACGGAGAGGCGATGGTAGTGGATCCGAGGCTGTTGGAGAAGTGTGCACTGGAGGCTGACATCCGAACACTACTGGGATTAGATCGTGACGAGGATGAGTACGGGGCGCAGGTTGGCGAGTTTGCTAGTCTGTCTAGGTGGTACAGAGGATTTGGTTTGTTGGGTGTTGGAGTTTTGACTCATTTGCAGCAGTCTGGTCCGCCAGCTAGAGAGGCTCAGTGTTACCTTCTTTTGCTGCTTGGGTCGACAGTATTCGTAGATAAGAGTAAGGACCGCGTTTCTGTTGTGGTGAACTTGTTTGTGAAGAGGCCGGATATGCTAGGAGAGTATGCGTGGGGGGCAGGAGCACTTGCTTATCTGTACAGGCAGCTTGGTATTGCCTCACGGGCGGAGGCTAAGGGAGTGGCGGGTTGTCTGACTTTATTACAGTGTTGGATTTACGACCACTTTCCTACTTTGAGGCCTAGTCGGTTGGAGCCACGAGAGCTAGAGCGGGTGCAGGCAGGAGCATTCAGGTGGCGCGGTACAGCACCCTGGTCGAGTAAGAAGAGGGATGCACAGATGCTGACTTATTATCGGCAAGCGATTGATAGTTTGACCCCTCAGTCAGTTAGTTGGACTCTGTATGGTCATAGTCCTCATCTGACGGTGAGACGTACCTTGTATCAGGGTCTGCTCAGATTTGCAGAGATAGCAGAATATTATGATCCCACTAGGTGCCTCCGACAGTTAGGCTACGTGCAGGGTGTACCGTATCCACCGGAGCGTCCGCTTGTTGTGCGTCGACCTGCTTCCACGCTTGGATACTCTCTTAGCTACCAGTCTGTCTATGATTCGTATTGGAACAACTTGGGGGCGCATAGTGTGCATCTGGACCTTTTTTCTACTCCGATACGACGTAGGCCATGGGAGTTTGTTGAGGATTACATGGCGTGGTACATTAGGCACTCGCACCCACATATACTGAGTGACAGCCGACCTGTTGATGACATCTCGGATGCTGATACGGTTAGTACAATTATATTTTAAATTATTTGTATTAAGTTAAAAAAAATTAATTGTAACTAATATGTATTTAAATTGTATGGTTTTTTATTACAGTTGTCACGCGAGATGTGGATTGAGATATCTCCCGTGATGGATGCTGCACAGGGTAGTAGGGAGGAGTGGATGGCTAGCGCCAACGAGTACTACGACTTATGTCATGGAGTTGGGAACATGTGGCCCGAGTTTAGGAGGAATTCGGGTTTTCTACCACCTCCACAGTAGTTGTATGATTATTATGTCATATGTATGAGTGTTATTTGTTGTTTTTAGACGAGTTGACTTATGTGTTCTACTACGACTTATGTTATGTGGTGTTCAGTTGCTTATTTGTTGTTTTGGGACTATGACTTATGTTATTTGTGTAATCTGATTATGACTTATGTGGTTTATGTTGTACTTTGGATGTTTTTATTATATCATGCTTCCATGTGACGTAAACAAACTTCATTACAATTTATTTAAATTGAAGACGTTCATTACAATTTATTTAAATTGAAGACGAGTACAAGTATATTTCTTTGGACCCCTCTTTTTGCGTGATGGAAAGTTACTCGTCGCACCCCCAAGATCGAACCACATTTGACTAAACGAAGCGAAATATGTCTCCCATCCATCCACGCTTTCTTGGTGACCGCCTGGCCACATGCCATGTGGAGGGGGCATCGGTATCTTGTCCGCCGGGAAAGAGAGGTTGATCCAATGATCCTGGACGAAATGCAGAACAATGACTCCTCTAGGGTGGGCTTCCCCATATATGTTGTCCACTGGCAGAATGGTGCAGTAGTACGATTGTGGAGCTGGGTAGAGGTAAGTGCTGTACATGACAACCGCCAAATTAAATAGTGTGGCAAATACGAATAGATCCACACCCATCATCCAATTTGTTGAGTCGTTGGTGCTGTAGTAGTGATGTCAATGCGTCTGATTGCATCATTGATGCCTTCACCATAGATGGGTGCGTATCGCCAATCGTGCTCACGCATTTCTTCAGCAAGTCGTGTCCTCACCCCTGTGAACCCTTCTTGATTACCATATAGTGCAAAACTAAGTGCACGAAACCCACAATGAACGTCTGGCACCGGGTCGTGGATGGCAATGACAAGCGGCCGAATGAAGATAGGAAGCAGTTCCATGTGTGAGTAATCAGAATGGGGAATGCTGGGTCCAGGGATATCTGTGAAGAAAATAGGTAATCAGCACAAATGCGATGTAAAATATTAATATAAATAACTACACTTATGAAAAAATTAAATTGTACCTGTGTCAGGACAGTTGTATTTGTTGTTATCTTCTGGATCATCACACTCCTCCGCTGCATGGTCGTCTGACGGGTACTCGTCTGTCTGAGTCCCCGTGGACTTAGTACTGGTCGACTTTGTAGACCTCGACGTTGTGCTTCCCGACTTCTTTTTCATGC